TTTGCAAAACTAAAAATTAAAATCACTTCGCCACCACATAATATTTTAAATGAATTTTTGAAAGGGAAATTTATACTCGTACTCAATTCCATTTGAATTTTTTAACTTAATATCAAAACTCAAAATTGAGTCGTTCCAAATCCATGAAATATTTTGTAAAAAAATGTGTCAATATTGAAGTGAGCTAAAATTAATCAATTTAAGGAGAGGGCACAATTTTAGAACTTTCTTTTTGATTTTTGACTTTCATGAGAAAATCAAGCCAACGAAGTCATCTCAATCATCATTGAATGATGGGAAAACTTATCATAAGAGTTCTAACTATATACTGAGGCTGTTATGAAAGTGACAATTCATAATCTCAAAATATAGCCTCATGATCATAATGCAAAGAAAGCTCCTTGATGTATGTGCTTAGAGATTGAACACAAGATTCTCATTCAAGGGTAGGTCATTGATGCTGAAGAATGAGAAGTACAATGCATGTTGAACTTTTAAAAAAATTTATATTATACCATTTAGGCTGTAAAATAAGTTAATTTTTAAATATCAGGGGGCGACGACTTGAATCCATTGAATGCTTGTCCCTAAAGTGTGTGAGTAAGGCTGATTGCACTTATTACAAGGGATGTTTCCAATACTCAACTTTCTAGTCTTTGAAAAGTTATGAAAAGCCTTTTAGGGTTTAGAATGATAAACATATAAAGTATAAATAGATTAATACACAAAATTTGAGAAATAAAAATGCTTGGCATCAATCTTATTAAAGTAAAAAATAAAAGCATTACTCATTATTTATATATGATTAACACTGGGTCCGTTCGTGAAAGAAGTTTTCGATGATTTGCTTTTGGGTCCTCGACGGATGACATGCCATGTGACAAAATTTTCTTTCAAGAAGTAATAGGAGTCTAACGATCATTGAGTCTCTGAATCTCAGAAGAAAGCTTGAACTCTTAGGTTGAACTTAAATGAAATTGAACTCAACTAAATCTCCAACATAAACACTCTTTAATTCAACTGAAATTAAACAAAATCAAAATTTTTTAAATGGAAATTGGGTGCAAAATTTAAATTTGAACAATTGTTGAACTTAAATGAAATTGAACTCAACTAAATCTCAAACATAAACACTCTCTTAATTCAACTGAAATTTAACAAAATCAAAATTTTTGAAATGGAAATTGGGTGCAAAATTTAAATTTGAAAAAAATTAAAGTATGGTTGATACTGGGCAAGGTTTAATGTTCCATAGGGTGTCCTTTACCCAATACGACTAAAATAAAACTCATAAGATCACTGATAAATTAATTAACTCTTAAAAAAGTTTTCAAATAAAATAAGTAATCTTCAAATAAAAACAATCACATACTCAAACAAAAACTTAAGGCCAAAAATTTTCAAAACGACATCTATCAATTCAAGATCCTTTGAGGTCTAGGGCAATGTCACCTGGGATTAATTTTCCCTTTGATTAGCTTTTAAGTTAGATGCGAGTCCGTGCGCTTTCTAACATAATCTAATCACTTTGTTCACCTCATAGTTTGGATGTGAGTCCCTGTGCTTTCCATTATAAAGTGTTTAGGCCAAAATTCTTCCAACAAATTATATCAAACCAATCAAATTGAACAAGCACAATAAACCAAAAACATTTTTCAAAAATAATCGTTCAACACTTCCTACAAAATATGCATTTTTTTCCAAAAACAAGAAAGAATCCACCGAAGCAATTAATTTTTTTTAAAAATGAACACTCATAAAATGATCAACTACAACAATCAAAGTGAATAAAAAATACCAACAAAATTAAAAAAATCTCAAATTTTTTAAAACATCTAAGCCTCTTAAGGATTTGTCATCCTTAAACTATTCTAGTTATTATTTAGATAAGGTGTAATTTCCCTTGTGGTCTCTGCATCCAAATATAACTAAAAAATTCACTGTTGTTCAAAAATGAAACAACATTTCACAAAACCAAATTTAAAAAATCAATCTAAGAAAAATGAAATGTTAAACACAATGCACAACAAGTCTAGTTCAAACTTTTTTGGGTTCGTTAGAAATTGGAGTATGCCTCACAAGGAACCAACATGATAGGACCAAGTTGATTGACCTCACACAAATCGAGGTTTAGTTTTAGAGATCAATCCCTTTGATTATTCTCAATTTAATCTATCACACATCTGGAATAAGTTTGTATTGATCCATCAGAAGTTGGAGCCAGCCCCATGTGGCACCATTATGATGTGATTAAATTTGTTAAATTCAAATTAGTCAGGGTTGATTATGGTTATTGATCCTTTGGGCTAGTAAAGCTAAGATGCAAAAAATCACATGCCCCTTTTAGTGTAGCCCATCGTAACCTTTCTGTAAACCTTCTCAAGGTTCATTGGAAGTTGGACTACACCCCATGTGCCACCAACACAATATGAATAGGTTGATTGATCTTCTTACTATCTATAACTTGTTGGGTTAGTGTCATAATCTCATTTAGTATACTCAACGCACATTGGAGCAAAGATTAGTCAAGCATTGTTTGTTCCTATTAAAACTCCCTCCAAGTTTCATTGAGTCCACTAAGAGTTGTATTACACCCTATAAGACAACAACATAATATGATCAAGTCGATTAATTCCAGATCAGTCAAGGTTGATCTCAAGAGCTAATCCATAATTTTGAGTTAAAGCAAATCTCGTAACAAACTTTTTCTCGCTCCAACTTATTGCACGACACGGTGATATTTTGTTCCTTTCTTCAGAGGATGCCAGTTTTGGATGGTGTACATCCAACCCCAATGGAGCTGACACCTTGATTGAGTAAAACAAAGAGAGAGTTATGTTTATATAATCGCTCCCTAGAGTCAGTCATTGCTTGACACTGTGTCGGAATGTTGTACTTCAAGTTAGAGTGAACAAACTCAATCAAGTCGGCAGGGCTAGCTGATGTCGATGGATTTTTGGTTATGATCAATTCAATATATTAGACTTGTAAATCTAGGTTTGGTAAATGGGCACCTTTTCAAATCATATAGTCAATTGAACTCTGTTGACCTCACTTTTGTTGAGGTCTAGTCTTTCTTCTTTAGAAGCCTAGGACTTAGCCATATGACTTTCCTGTTGACTATCCTATATTCTAGTCTTTCTTCTTTAGAAGCCTAGGACTTAGCCCTATGACTTTCCTGTTGACTATCCTATAGGACTAGTAATGAAACTAATAAAACCCTACCCCGATAGAAATTCTAAACACATCTCTTTGCTTTTCTTGGAGTTCCAAATGTTTGGTTTTAACCTCTCGAACTTAGTAGGATGGAACCAACATGGGGAAGCTCAAGAGGAGTCCCCATAGGACTGTCTGGCCTTAGGGTTAGCCCTAGGTGGTGTGGTCTTGGCCAGTCATGTACAAACACACTTGAACCCCTCACTTTCACTCACAACCTAAAAATCCTAAACCAAACATGCTTAGCTTGATTCCTTTCTCTTTTGGAAACTCATGTGGGTGGTCCCCCAAATCCTTAGCCTTTGGTTAGGATGATCAGACCAACACATGAAGGATCTAAAGTGAGGATTACCAGAGTTTCATGGCATCATATAGGTAATTTTGTGATTTGCTTCCTCACTAAACCCAATTTACCAAAAATTTCCAATTTTGGCCTTTTAGCCCCAAACTTTTCCAAAAAAACAAAAATGCCCCTAAAACCCAAATTTTCCGAAAATTGCCCAAATTCCTAAATTTTCTTCCAAATTCCCAAATTTTCTTCAAAAATCTTCTCAAACCATTTCAAACCACTCAAATTACCAAAAACATCCCAAAATTCTCAAGATTGCACAAAATACCCTCCATGTCCAAAAAATCCCAAAACCTTCCAAATATTTCCAAACATTTTCTAAATCAATCCTAACCACCCATTGATCCTAGTCACCCATTGGACACAATTTGACCAAATTGACCAATTTTGACCAAAATCCCAATTTTACTCCTGAAGGCACAAATCCTCCAAATTTATCCCAATTTTCACCAAATTGATTCAATTTTGACCAAAATCCCAATTTTACTCCTGAAGGCCCAAATCCTCCAAATTTATCCCAATTTCCACCAAACTGATTCCAAAATTCCCCAATTTCAAACCCAAATCAAATTTCATCATGTCCCAACCCAATTGAAACCAAATTCTAGCCCAATTGAACTCAATATGTAGATTTAACAAATCAATTTGGTGGAAATTGGGGAACTTTGGAAATAATTTGGCGGACCTAGTTTTATTTCTATTTATTTATTTTATTTCAAATTAATGAGTTTATTTTTTTAATTTTGTTTAATCAAGAAAAAAATCGGATAAGAAGATCAGGTGAGGTCAGCCCCACGATGCTCTAGAGATGTTTGTGCATCTAGTTTGAGCCACTCGTGAAGTCTGTGGACTCTGTTTCAGCAAGTGTTCCCGTCACGTGGCTTGGTCCGGTGGCGGGCCCATAATAAATCCAGTACGATTATTTTGATTCACACAAATGGAGTTACGCCTACTTTCCGTTGTAAAGTGAATTGTAATTTCTCTTAAATTACCATTTTTGTCGGTGAATATAATGCTTTTAAGAAGTTTATAAATTAGTGCCAATTATAGATTTTTTTTGTTAAATATATGTTTCAACTTTTTAATTATTTGAAGGAAATGTTCGCACGATACAAACAATTTCACCGTCTGTAGCGGTATTGACAGTTATTGGTAATTGTTGAAATTCTTGATTACATTGCAGGTTAAGAAACTGGGAAATCATCCTAATTTTTTTATTTATAAGAATACCAAGATAATATAATATAATTAACAGATAATACGAAAGCCCTAGTCAGTAATCATCCTCTGAGCTGCACTGCATTTATTATCAAGAAAATTATAAAAAAATTAATAAAAAGTAAATTTTAAAGTAGGATTATAAAGACATAAAAAAATCACTCCTATTTATTTAGGCAAAGAACAAGGAAGATGGGTTTCATTACTGAATTTCATCATATTTTGAAGGTGCCTACTTAACTGACGATCTCTTTGTACTTGATTTTATGCTAAATAATTTCTTTAATCGAAGGCTACTCTGTTCTTATTTTTCATTCTGTTCATAGAAATTTAATAGCTTTCCTTGCATTAGTTGTCTGATTAGTCGTGCAAAACTGTTCTCCTGGTTCAAAAGGGAAGCTTGCAAGAAGAATCAGATTTTTTTTTTATTGTATAGTTTTGGGGAGAACATTATTTCAAGGTTATGATGCTTTTACGAGGATTAGGTCATCATTTTCCCTGTTATCGTTTTCCCTCACTAATTTGCTGAGCGGATAAGAACCCATTCATGGGGACTCAACTTGGATCGTACCATCACTTTCTATGTTTATCAAAACGAAAGTAACTATCTTGGAGAGAACTTACGGTTTGTTCCAACACATGTATTGTTGATTGTTCCCTTTCAATTTTATAGATTCATTTCTACTCTATTTTCTCTCTTTTTGTGGTATTTTGTTGGGTTGGTCTATACTTGGGGCTCTGATTTATGTATCCAGTCCATTGAGCTGGGGTTCAGAATCTGAAATGCATATTCTTAGGCATTCATAACCTTGTTTGCGTTGATTTTGTGGATACTCCGGTGATTGGATTGCATAAGATATGTCATCAAAGCCAAACAAGGAGAGCTGTTCCAGGGGCAGCTCAGCCCGTTCCAAACATACCGCTAGGGTTTTTGCTCAGACATCCTTAGACGCCAAGCTCCATGCTGAGTTCGAGGAATCAGGCCAGCCCTTTGATTACTCCATATCAATGGGTGCTGCGAACCTTTCAACAAGTGGCGAGGGTGGAGAGAGCAGTGGCATCCCATCTTCTTCAGTTTCCGCCTATCTCCAACGAATGCAGAGAGGGCAGTGCATTCAACCATTTGGGTGCATGGTAGCAGTTGATGACCAAACCTTTGTGGTCATCGCATACAGTGAGAATGCCCCCGAGATGCTTGATTTGACCCCCCATGCAGTCCCCAGCATTGAACAGCGGGATGCTTTAACAATTGGGATGGATGCCCGCTCTCTTTTTAGGTCCCTTAGCTTTATTGCGTTGCAGAAAGCTGCAAGCTTTGCTGATGTCAATCTCCTTAATCCCATACTAGTGCATTGCAGAAACTCCGGGAAGCCCTTTTATGCAATTCTACACAGGATTAATGAAGGATTAGTTATAGAGTTGGAGCCTGTTAATCCAACAGATGTACCAGTGACTGCTGCTGGGGCGCTTAAATCATATAAACTAGCTGCAAAGGCCATTTCAAGGTTGCAATCTTTGCCTAGTGGGAGCATATCTCTTATGTGTGATGTCTTGGTTCGGGAAGTGAATGAACTCACAGGCTATGATAGGGTGATGGTTTACAAGTTCCATGAAGATGAGCATGGTGAAGTTATTGCTGAGTGCCACCGGCCTGATTTGGAGCCTTATCTTGGTTTGCATTACCCGGCCACTGATATACCACAGGCTTCAAGATTTCTGTTCATGAAGAATAAAGTTAGGATGATATGTGATTGCTCTGCTCAGCCTGTCAAAGTCATACAGGATCATAGGTTTGCTCAGCCTATGAGCCTATGTGGCTCCACCTTGAGAGCTCCTCATGGCTGTCATGCTCAGTACATGGCTAACATGGGGTCAATTGCCTCTCTCGTGCTATCCATTACAATCAATGATGATGACGATGATGACGGTACGAGGGATAGTGATCAGCAGCCAAAGGGAAGGAAGCTTTGGGGATTGGTAGTTTGTCATCACACAAGTCCTAGATTTGTACCATTCCCACTTAGATATGCTTGTGAATTCTTGCTTCAAGTTTTTGGAATACAGCTGAACAAAGAAGTTGAGTTAGCTGCTCAAACAAAGGAGAAGCATATACTTCAGACACAGATTGTTATATGTGACATGATTCTTAGAGATTCTCCAATCAGTATTTTCACACAGTCGCCTAATGTAATGGATCTTGTTAAGTGTGAAGGCGCTGCCCTTTATTATCGTGAGCAGTTTTGGCTACTTGGAACAACCCCTACTGAAGTTCAGATAAAAGATATCATTGCTTGGCTTCAAGAGTGCCATGATGGATCTACAGGATTAAGCACAGACAGCTTGACAGAAGCAGGTTATCCTGGTGCTGATGCCCTTGGAGATTCTGTTTGTGGAATGGCAGCAATTAAAATCACTTCTTCTGATTTCATATTTTGGTTTAGACCACATACCGCCAAGGAAATCAAATGGGGAGGAGCCAAGGATGAACCTGCTGACAAAGAAAATGAATTTGGGAAAATGCATCCCAGGGCTTCTTTTAAAGCTTTTCTGGAGGTGGTAAAAAATCGAAGCCTTCCATGGGAAGATGTTGAGATGGATGCAATTCATTCGTTGCAGCTTATATTTCGTGGCTTGCTCCAAAATGAGATTGTAGCTGTTGAATCAAAGTCCATAGTGCAGGCGGAAACTTATGCTAAACGGAAAATTCAAGGTTTGGAGGAGCTTCGTACTGTTACTACTGAAATGGTTCGTCTCATTGAGACTGCGACAGTGCCAATTCTAGCTGTTGATTCTTTGGGGACCTTGAATGGATGGAATACAAAGGCAGCTGAGCTTACAGGGTTGTCTGCCGAAGAGGCTATTGGAATGCCTTTTATCAACCTTGTTGAGGATGAAACTTCAGATGCGGCAAAGAATGTATTTAGCTTAGCATTGCAAGGTAAATTTTTATCCTGTTGTAATTTTTATGTTTTTATTATCTATGGTTTAGTTCATTTGTAAGAAAAATTGCTTTTTGTTTTTATGAGCACATTCAGCACTTCTACTGTTACTGACAGGGAAAGAAGAAAAGAATGTAGAAATTAAACTTAAAACGTTCGGCCCTAAACAAAAAAATGGACCTGTTATCTTAGTAGTCAATGCTTGTTGTAGCCATGACCTGAATGATATTGTGGTGGGAGTTTGTTTTATTGGTCAAGATATGACACAGCATAAAATGGTCATGGATAAGTATACTCGTATTCAAGGTGATTATACTGCAATAATCCGAAATCCAAGTGCTCTCATTCCACCAATATTCATGATTGATGCATATGGTTGCTGCTCTGAATGGAATGCTTCTATGCAAGAAATTTCTGGTTTGAAGAGAGAGGATGCCATAGGTAAAATGCTCATAGGGGAGGTTTTTACTCTTCAGAGTTTTGGCTGTAGAGTCAAAGATCATGACACCTTAACGAAGCTTAGGATTGTGCTTAATCGGGCCATTGCGGGGCATGACATGGAGAAATTTCTCTTTGGGCTCTATAATACGAATGACAAGTATGTGGAAGCATTGCTATCTGCAAACAAGAAAACAGATGCTGAAGAGAAGGTTACAGGAGTGTTGTGCTTTTTGCACGTGGCCAGTCCAGAGCTCCAGCATGCTTTGCAGGCTCAAAGAATGTCTGAACATGCTGCAATGAACAGTCTAAAAGAGTTGGCTCACCTTCGCCAGGAAATTCGGAATCCCCTAAGAGGAATTGTATTTACACGCAATTTGATGGAGGCGTCGGAGCTAACTGAGCAGCAGCAGAAGCTTATTAGGACAAGCGCCCTGTGTCATGAGCAGTTGGAAAAGATCTTAGATGATACGAACTTGGAAAACATTGAACAATGGTATGTAATGTTTATTATAACTATGTTACATTGCAATACATTTTTTCTTAATATTGCAAAAATTAGGACTGAGACGTGTAGTTGGAAGAACAAAAATCACAAAAAGTAACATACACCGTAATGCTTTTATTATAAATTTTTCTTTTTTGTTGGAAGACTCGGGCTTATTGTATAAAAAATGATCTTAATTTATTAGAATTAAATGAAAATATGACACTAAATAGGATGCAATGGAGAAAAAGGGTTCATGTAGCCGACCCCACGTAGTGGGATTAAGGCTTTGTTGTTGTTGTAGTTAATGATATCTTGATACTTTAATAGCATTGTCATTTGCATGAGTTGATGCAATTCTCAAAGTCCACAATTATTAGAAACATTAGTTGTGTGGGCTCAAATAAACAAACTGAAACTTGATTGTTATTTTGGTAGTTTAGTGCTTTTTTAATGCGAATTTAGTTTCACTTTTTCATCTTGAAGTAAAATATGCTCTAACTTAACCTTGTTATAAGATTTCGTGTGTATTGAAGATCAAAGTTTACCATTTCCCTGGGTTAAATTTTTCTATATTGTTGTTGTTGTTTTTGTTAAACTCTGTCAATGCACTAGTTTATGATTTTTGGGCTCTGCTGGCTCTTTGCTTCAGGTAATGATATCCAGGTGGTTATCTTTGTCCAGCATGGGCAAATACCTGCAAATAAAGGTCCTCCCTAAAATAAATTTTAATTCTATGGATATGAAGTTTTTTTAATCGTTTTGGATGATGGGTGTGGGGCTTGAAGCATTATGGGTGAGACAATTTCTTTCTTCAGGAGAGAGGATTATTACTTGGTTGTTTCCTTTTTCTTATTCTTTCCTTTAGTTAATGATTGATCGACAAGTGTCATTGACGCTGTATAGATTTGTGACCTACCTGATTGCATTATATGAATAGTATATGATTTTTGTTTTTCTTTCTTATAGTTGGTTATTAAGAATGTTTGACTATAAATTTATTTCTATTACTTTATATTCATCTTGTTTATTAGTATTTTTTTTTTTTGCTACGTAGCCTGTTTTTTTGTGAGCATTGAATTTTTATTATTGCATTTGTTGCATTAAATTTTGTTATCTCTTCTAAAAAATCTATAAACTAGGCATCTACTCTATTTTCATTTTACTAATGCTACTTTGCTTATTATAATTAGATTAGAGGCCTTGGACTCGAAATCACCCTGCAAAAACAGTAAATTTCAATACTTGGTTTCTCAAGTTCTCATAGAGCACATACCATATATTCCATTTGATGTGCATTATTAAAAAAAAAATGAATATTGGGGCACACAACTATTCTGAAGGCATAATATATACTGGTTTATGGCAACATGTTATTTAACTTTCAAAAAGCATTGCTGGATGCATATTTATTATGGGTAAATAGGATATAATGATCCGACATAGATTGAATAATTATAGCTTGTTTATCATTATCTTTTATTTATGTTATTACAAATGCTATCTTGGCGTAAAGGCATGATTTTCTTGCTTCTCAATGATTTTGCATTACTTTTTCTTGAATGACGAGATAAAATTTAATTATTGAAGGTTACGTTTTGTGCTTCAAAAATTTCGACGCACCCAGACTCTCACATTTGTTTGTTGAGAGAGCTTTAAGGGTCAATTTTTCAGAAGGCAAATGGATTATTAGATAAGATACTACCCAGAGATTTCGCCCTCATATTGCGAAACTTTTTGATGTGGGGTTCGAGGTTTCTTATAGGCTGCAACACTTGTTTAATTACCCTCTATGATAACAGGAGAGAACTTTTGATTAAGGCTAGTAATTTAGAGTTGAATATTTAACATATAGTAACATCAAACAAACAGTTTAAACTCTAAATTGTAAAATTTGTTACTTTGAGCTTAAAGTAGATGGTGATGGAAACAATGAAAAACCTAATCAAGATTTAATGGTTTCGTCTCCGATTCAACGTGGTCCCTAATCTAATTAGTCAGAGGTAGTCGATCTAATTTCACAGATGAATCATTGTCAGTAATTATGAGTTGCATCGTCTAAGGGATCCTTGTAGTTATTGGTTGGATGTTTGTCTAAGGGGATAATTTTAAGTCGACCTTAACTAACATAAGGTTTTCATAACAATCAATTATACTGTTATGATTAATAAGTTGAAGGACAGAAGGTAGTTGGGGAATATATGGACTGCAGTTGTAATCGGAAAATAATGATATCATTAGCAACAACCATTCTGTCAGAGGACTCTAGTTGTAACCATTTTTCAAGGAGCCTTTGGGCCAAACTAGACGTACAAAGGACTCGAGTCACGCCAATACTAGGGGGAAATTATTTTGAGTGAGAATATAATAACACATTCGATTTGGCTTTAAGCTCTTTTGTGAGCTAAAATATATAAAAAATTTGTCAGTCTTGACAAATTATTTCGGATGGTGGTATAGTTTGCTTTAAGTTTTAAAGCCATTAATTTTTACTTGGTATTGATTTGAAAGCTTAGTTTGAATATTGGTTTGAAATTAACTATTTTGGTTGTCAACACAGCCATCATAGAGGATGTGAACATTTAAAACTTTTATACTTGAATTTCATTTAAATTTGTTAGTTTGAGCATTTTAGGATACAAGACATGTCGATTCCACTTCTAATAAGGATGAGGATCAGATTATGTGATTTGGACTTGCAAATTTATATCTTATGATTTGAATATTTATTTTGAAATTGCTAGACTCGTCAGCTCCAGTTCTCGCGAGGAGGAGGGTCGGACTATTTTGGTGGGACTTACAATCTTTCCTTATAGATAGGGCAACCTGATGGATTAATTTTCAATATATGAATTATTTGACTGTAAGTTTAGCCCTAACTCGTGCATCATTCCTAAGTTATTCGTTAAAACATTTGGTATTTTAGCGGTAGCCCATGAGGTTTATAATTTTGGATGATTAGACATCTTTATTCTTGTATCCATAGCATGCATTTGTATGTATCTTGATACACATACATGATTAATTATCTAGGGTTTTATGCTCTTTAAAATATAATAGCACACGATATTTTCATAAGATGCAATCGCACTCATTATAAAATATTTGCATGCTTTAAATACATTGTACCTAGAAATCATTTTAAATATAAAACTTAAAAATTATATAACTTTTCTTAGTTAAATTAATGCATCGATGCATACAAACATCAACTTTTTAGCTTTTTATATACCCCATTTTGTACGTTTGTAAAAATGTTCCGAATTCGGTGGTAAACTTTTAAATTTCAAAATTCACATATTTGAATTATTTTTGAACCCTAGAAGACTAAATTTGAAATCCCAAAATTTTAAAGTTTGAAAGATTCTAAATTTTAAAGCTCAAAATTTTAAATATTTTAAGTATGACGAGCCCAAATTTCTAAAGCATAGAATATAAAGTATATTAATTTTTTTGTAATTATTTTAAAAGTTTGAAAGCCTAAGATTTGAAGTTATTTAGAAGTCTATATCAATATAAAATTTGACAGCCTCTCGACATCAAACCACATTAGGAGGCATCAGAAGAATGTCAGTCTTCCAAACTATCTTAAAGGACTCACTGGCCAGTGTCTTGAGACACTTTGGTTAGAGAGCAAAAATATTTATTTAAACCGACGGTCTTAAAAGTCACTATAGGTTTTCAATGTTCCTGCAAAAATGGTCAAATCTCTAGTTTACTCAAAGGATGGTTACTCAAGTTTTCTTGAATAGACATTTTAAAAGCAAAATTGGCCTATTAGCCAATTGTTATACCTTCTCGAAGTGATAGGTGATCTACGACAACTAATGGCTTGAAAAGTTGTGGTGAAGCAAGTTGGCCGAATCACACAAGTATATGTTGCAATTAATGATGCGGTTAAAGTGTACCGCATATGGATCCCACGAGAAAAGTACTAGGAGTTATTCTGGAGGGCAAATCTCTCGTTTATTACATTTTAAACCTAGTTTAGAGTGATTACACAAAGTTGTAGTTTAGTAGAATCTTATTCAAAGCTAAAAAGAAAGATAATAGGTTTGGAAAAGAGAAAAAAAGGCAAATAAATTTTACGATTCTTCAAGGTATGTGAGGCTTGCGCCCTTGTAATTTCGGTGATATGGTGGTTCGTGATTTTTCTAGACTTTCCCCTATGCGACAGTTGTCAACAACAATAGAAAGTTCTACTTATGTCTATGCCTAGATCAAAAGAAGGCTAGAATCCATATATTTGAGGCTTCGTCAATCCCCATAGCATCCCGCAGATTTATTCTGACCCCCTTTGTAAAATCCAGATAACATATGTCTATTGTTATTCGGATGTTGTGATTAACAATTTCGTTTCTTTGTGCAACAGGCATGAGTCATAAATCATGAAATATGTTAACATCATAATAGGCCAAATCAGGTGTAAATAAAAATGTTTAGTTTACACAACTATGAAAAAACGATGATTCCTCCGAAAAATGATATAAGGAAAGAAATCATTCGAGAAAATCACAAAAATCACATACCATAAATCACAGAGGTTCGAAACGAAAGTTAGCTACGCATGTTGGAAAGAACGTAGGAAAAACATTTCATTGAAATAATAATTGTAAGTAACAACTGAAAGTAAAAACTTACAATACAATTTGTTCCTTCTTCCAAAGCATCTAACTCGTTTCTCATACAATCACCCTCTAAGAATATGTAAGAAAAATACAAAGTAAAATGCGGAAAAACCCCCTTGGTGAGGATTTATTGCTAAACTAATTTCCTGCTCTGTTGGCGTTCTCATGCCAAAAGGTGGCTTGGTCACGCAAGCATTCTAAATCAGGCGACATGGTCACGCCGATTCCTTTGTGGTCACGCTGCCTCTCTGCAATTCTGGCATGGTCACACCAGAATGTGGCATGCTCACGCCGCTGTTGTCGATAACTTGGCGTGGTTATGCCGCTTCCAGGGGTGGTCACGCCGCTTTAGGCTATTTTTTGGTTTGTTTCTCTCGTTCC